AAAAACTGGCCCTAAGGGCGGTAAACTTATCTGTTTTAAACTATAGTTAAATCGTTAATAGATAAGTTAAAAACAGCCCCAACACTTATACAGTATATATGTATAAAAAGGTAAGGAATATACAATACATATACTATGTCAGTCTTCCTTAGTTTAAAAATTCATCTCTTACATATATGGGTGTTTCCACCGGAAGGTCTACCACGACAAAAAAAATAAAAGTTTTATATCTAACGTATTTACGGGCCGATTTGTCTGCTTTTTAAAATATATACTGGCTATGTAAGTAGAATCATGTTTGCATAAAATGGTCTTCCTAGGTGGTGCCAAGATCGAGATATTTCGAAAAACCGTATTTATGGTCCGATTTGGTTCGAATTTGGCGTATGTTGTTGAAACATAATAAATCATAGATTTCCAATAAATTGACCCTGAATTGGCGCTGAAGTCAAAATATAAAGTATATTCTACATAATATACATGTTTTATTTGCGTTGAAAATTCATTTAAAAGCAATATTAACAAAAATATAACGATGGAAATTTATGTCACGTCACGCCACGTCACGTCACGTTTCACACTTGGGGTTGTAGAAGAGAATTGAAACAATTTGCATTAATTCAAAAAACTCTTAAAACAACTAGAATTGCTCCAAATCATATCAAAATAAGTTTCATCAAAATAGCCATCCACAATTCGCAGAGTTTTGTGATTTTGCAAGAAAAGAAAAAATCAACTTCCATTTTTTATCACGTAACGAACCTCTCATTAAATGCTTATATTTCAGGACCAAGCAGTTCGATTGATTTATTTTTTCGGTTAAATATAGAGCTAATTACGTGCTATACAATGGCCCAAAAAAGTTAAAGAAAACAAATGGTATTCCTTTTTTTGTATCACATTGAAATCGTACGACTGTCACGTGCGCCACCATGGGAATGCCCATATGCAAAAAAAAAAATAGATCAAATTAAGCATATACAAAGGGCTAAAAAAAGGCTAGGGGCAATTTTAAATTTATGTGGCCAAAAAAAGAATGTGGTAGCTAAATCTAGCCACCAAAGGGCTAAAACGGCAACACTGGTTATGAGCCAGCACCTTGTGCCAATATAAAAACAATAAAGATTTTAAATTTATATCTAAACTTGTTTATACAGAAATTGAAAATAATTAGAAAACAATAAATGAACAAAATTTAGCTGCAGCTGCTGCTATTGCATGCATGTTGGAATGTGTGTATGCACGTAAGTATGTATGCATGTTATTTGAAATATAAAGTATATTCTACAGAAAATACATGTTTTATTTGCGTTGAAAATTCATTTAAAAGCAATATTAACAAAAAAGAAGAAGAAGCGAAAAGAGTTTGAAATGATTCATATAAGAGGCCAATAATTGTTTTAAAAGAGTCCCAAATGAGCCGTATATTAGGCCAATAAGAGTCCAATATGACCCATATTGAGGCTCATTTGATGTATGAATTTAAGCTCATATAAGTCGACCTTCGGAGAAAGGGAAACACCCTCATATCGGACTCTTAAATGAGCTCATTATGAGCGTAATGGCTCCGAAATAGGACTCCTTAAAGACTCATTTTTGACTCCAAATGTTTGCTGGGTTGGTGCAATTGTTGATTGTGAGCATACGAAAAACCGAAATATGTAACAATTAAAATATTTGTTATTAATTATTGAGCCATTACAAAGCAAAATGAAGTGTGCAGTGGCAAAGTGTAATAATGACAACAAAGGAAAGCGTGCGATACAAGATTTTTTTTCGTTTCCTACGGACGCAAACCTGGCGAAAAAGTGGAAGCAGTTCTGCCGGCGAGGAGATGCATTAAACACCAAATCGAGC